TTCTCATAAAGGATGTCACGTAGATCAAAACCTCACACGACGGAGCTCGGTGGCGGCAGCTGCGTTGGCTTCTCTATTCAGCGCTTCTGAATCTGTCCCACATCTTCTCTGATGTGGAGGAGAGCACTTTAGACGGAGGAGAGCAACAGGAGCTGCAGATTTACTACTCTGGAGACCGGCAGCCGTCCTCCTTCACATGCTACAGCAGGGAGCTTCATTGTAATTGCCAATTATGTAATTACGTCTGCCTCCTCATTCCTGAGCTGTTTTGGATACGATAAGCCACTCAACACGTTTTCTACTTTCACAGATGACTCAGACAAATTATAATTGTTGTTTTTAATCAAATTCAAGCATCTTCTTCTATGTCTAGAGTTGATGTGTTTTCAATGAACTTGCTAATATTTATGGAAACTGAGAAGGGAGGCTTCAGTGATGGCCCATCTCCAAACAGCAGCTGCATTTCCATTACAAACTAAATGGAAATCTTTGTCAATATTCTGCTAATGTCAGGGGGGTAAAACACATTTTCCAACACAGCCGCATTAGATATATTCGTAACTTGGCCATCAGACGTGTGAGGAGACGTTCAGGCGTTGGAGCGACAAACTCCACCTACTTGGGAGTGGCTACTTGTGCAGTGTTTTGGGAATATTGTGTTTTCCAATTTTCCAGAAGAGCTATGGTTTCAACACGTTTTAATGACACACTGTGCCAAGCTGTGAGAGCTCTGGTGAAACTTCATCCTACTGCCACTTCCTGTCGTCGTCTTTGTCGTTTTCCCCTGTAGTATTCGTCGACAGTTGTCTGGATTACCATTGTTTTTACCATTTTCTCACTTCCTTTGCCAACCCATACTGGATGCATTCTGTGCAACACCAACAAAAAACCTTTAGGCTCAGCATTATGACAAACGCAAAGCCACTGCAAAGAGCCACAAACTATCCAGAAGACAATTTTTGCTATGCTTGATTGTAATGCAGCAGGATCACGCAACTATCTCCTATATTTATAATCTTGCTCTTAAATTTGAGTTAAGGCATCATTAAAAGCTCTTAAAATCTTTAATGCAGATGCCCTGTTCTGTTGGTCAGCTTTAAATGAGCCAACATGCAATTATATCCTGGTGGAATATAGGGGCTGACATTCATCATGTAGATTATCATTTACCGTAATCAGTTTCCTATCATGATAAAAAAAAAAGTTTTGATTTGTTTTCATGAAAAATTCCAATTTAATGACTCCTTAAAATAAATTTAAAAAATCATAGTCAGAATTGTTAGTTTTTACAATTTTTGTCACTGTTTTTTCAGTGAGAAAATCAACCAAATTACAAATTTTAAAAAATTGTTAAATGCAGTGAACGCGAGCAGCTTATTCCCACTTCTTCAAGTGATTTTGTGTGTTTGTGGTGGTGCGATTGATGTGTCATACAGTCACCGTTTTACCTCAAAAGAAAAAAAATGGTCACTTCTATCGTTATCGGCAATAGTAAAAAAGAAATACAGTCCATAACTTCCTGGCCTCAACTCTGTGTGTGTCTCCTCTCAGTGTGTGTGTGTGTGTGTTGACGCGGTTATTGTCATGATTGAAGCACGAATTACCTTGCGCAGTGGATATTCTGGCTGGCCAAGTTGAGGGGGGAGGGGTCAGAGGACACGACCTCTCTCAGAGGAGTTGCCGTTGACCCTGGACCTCTCTGGTTGAGCCTGCAGGGAGGTGGGCACTACGAGGTCCGTCCGGTCCGGGGCACACGAGGTGGTGAGCTGTCTAATCTGTTTTTTGTCCGCTAGGCGTTTTCACCTCTACCGACCCCCCACCCCCTTCATCCTCTTCATCCTCCTCCGCTCTTCCTTTGAGGACAGAGTTTGAGCGACAGGACAATGTCAAAGGGAAGTGACTGATTTTATAGGCCGTTTGAACCCCCAACAAAACAAAGGAGACGCGGCGGAGCAAATGAACGCCACAACACGAAGTCGCATGTTTGTTTACAGCATGCCGGCGTCTTATTCGCCGCGCCATAAACGGCACTTTCCCCTCTTCTAAGTGACACCGGAACAATGGTGCGCCACTATGTCTCGTTGGTTCCTAAATTACTGGGGAAATCAGAGAGAGAGAGAGAGACAGACAGAGAGAGAGACCCTCATCCCCCGAAGGGATTCCTGTAGTAAACCAGAGAGCCGGTTCAGACATCACACAGGACTATTCATGTCAGAGGCGGTTCAGAACAACTGATGCATTAACCGAGAAAAAAAAAAAAGGCTTTGAAGCTGAAATGTCGGCATGATTTTTTTTTTTCATTCAGGAGACCTGTTATTATTTCATTCTGAGGGTAAAAAACAGTTCGTCTTCCAGTCGTACCTCGTCAAGAATCGAATCCTTTGAGGTAACAGTGTCACATGTGTGCAGACATTCCTGTGAAATACTGACCATCTCAACTTCTATTTGTGTACTTTGGTAACTAGGGCTATTTTCCACATGGATATAGCCTTCGGATTGTGCGCCTTTGCTGTGGGCAAGTAGGGGGCCCCGCTAGAGGAGAGACTGGCTGGCTGTTTCACCTAAAACTTTTAAGTGTGTGTGTGTGTGTGTGTGTGTGTGTGTGTGTGTGTGTGTGTGTGTGTGTGTGTGTGTGTGTGTGTGTGTGTGTGTGTGTGTGTGTGTGTCTGTCCCTGCACCTCCAATCAGGAGCGTACAAAGAGCCGTGTGTCGAGTAGTGATGTGATGTGCGAATGTGTTTTGGTAGGCGCTGCCAACTGTGCTGGGGTATATGTGTGTGTGTGTGTGTGTGTTGGAAGCAGAGGGATGGGTCTGAGGAGAGGTTTGAGAGGGATGGAGTGACTGGAGGGTTTTTTGGATTTGGTCCCAGACTGAGGGGTCCAGTTTATGGCGCCATGGTGCATCCCTCCCTCCGCTCGGCTGTTTGGATACTTGTACTGCTGGAAGTTGTTTAAAATCCTGCAAAGTGGTGTTAGAGGAAAACCAGAGAAATTATATATTTTTTCTGTCCTGGTAGAGACAACATTAGTTTAATCTACAGGATCTTGCAAAATATCCACACCCTGTTAACCTATTCACGTTTTTACAGCTTCCAACTACAGGCTTCAGTGTGGATTATTGGGATTGTGTGACATAGAAACACAGCATGTAATAATAGGGAAATGTAAGAACGAGAATCTGAAAAGTGTCTTGGATTTGTTTTTAAGCCTCTTTTTATGCTGACGCAGCTACATGAAATCTAGATCAACCAGTTGCCTTCAGATTAGGGCTGCAACTAATTTTGGTCGATTATCCTTTTTTCTTTTTTCTATTGACTATTCTGAGAAGTAATTAATCAAAATAAAAAAAAAATTAGCACATTTTACATATATATATCCATTCACCTTTATGTTTCATTAATTTTTATCTTGAAGCTAGCAGTAAAACGCAGTTTCTGCAAAAATGACAAGAAATTTCCCAAAGCATATATTTCTTTTTTTTTTTTTCCCCAAAAAAAAGTCTTCTGACATTTGCGGTCATAAATCCGTTTTGTTTGTCCTGAGAGCAAAATGTCTGTTTTGATTGTAGAAGTTGCAGACATCTCCTCTAAAACATAATTATTTCCACTTTAAAACAAAAAACAGATGCACTACTTTGTTTTGCTCCATCGTGAAATCCTGTGAATTTTTGGCTCGTAATGAGACAAACGGCAAAACAGTTTAAGACGTCATAGAGGATAATATAAGCTTCAGACAGCGTGCAGCTCATTGGGGAAGCTGACCTAGAGCCTGATCAAATGAGGACAGCGTTGCTTTAATAAGACCGAAACGCGGCACAGCATCAAGTTATAGAAACGTGTTCCTGCAGACGGCGAGCGAGAACAAGCCGACGGGGGAAACCAAGCAGACGGCTGGTGCAGAGACGCAGTGAAAGGATCCCTGTGTTCACTGAAATTCCAGCAGCTACGTTTAAAACAAAACATTATTCCAGCTGTGGCGCTGCGTTCGTCCTCCCGTGGACCTCTGCGCGGGTCGACGTTCAACTCGACAAAACGGACGGCCTGTTCGTGGTCAAACACAGTGTTTACGTAGAGACGTAGCAAAACCGTTGCGCAAAATGCCCTCTGGCTCCAGTTTGCTCACATGTCAGTACAAATGTTGACCACTGATCAATGGGTGGAAAAATATTTCTGCATTTCTCTCTGCCACCAAAGTGAGAGTTTAGTTTTTTTGTTGTTTGTCTACAGAAACAGATTAGAAGAGCTAATAGTCCATGACCCGGGTGCTGTTAGGAAATAGACACACTGGCCTGTGGAGGATATTTTTAAGATCTTTATTTAATGGATGGCAGTCGAAAGCCAAAAGCCAGAGAAGGTGGGGAAAACTAAGCATTTAAGGTGTAAGCATCTCAATATGCCTGAGGCTGAAATTGGACATCTAACCTGCAGAGTGGGTGAGGAGTTAATCCAGAGAGCTCTCTTTAAACCTGTTTCAGAAGGACCCAACACTCAGAAAAGAGCTCCAGCACTAAACTATCAATCAAGACTGAGGAGGGCCAGGATAAGAGGCCCGCTCTGTGAAGTGGGCCAGCCTAAGGCTGCTGTGCTGAGTGTTACAATTAGGAGTGGTGAAGGGGCCTAAACAGCCAAGGTGTGTTTGATTTGGTGAAGGGTGAAGCCCCTCACCTAGCTCCTTAAAATCTACATCCATAAAAGGAAGCATACTCAACAATTGGGTCCCAGCTGAGTTGTTTGCCTTTCTTTGTCTTTCTGTCTGTCTGTCTTACTGTCTTTTTTTCCTGTCTTTTTGTCTTCCTGTCTGTCTTTAAAGACACTAATAAGTCATTTTGGATTGGACGCAATCCCTGTGTTGCATATTTTTAGGCCTGATTTAAACTCTAGTATAATGTGTCAAAAAGTTAACAGGTCCGAGACGTACAATGGTTTTTGTTCTAGACGATGATTTGTTGAACAGAGTGTGTGTTGTTGGCTAAGTCTCACTGTAGCGTCTGGTGTGTTGCAGGAGCGCCGCTGAAAGTGTGTCCGCAGGGTTTCTCCTGCTGCACGGCCGAGATGGAGGACAAGCTGAGCCAGCAGAGCCACTCGGAGATCAAAGCTCCCGTGTCCCGGCTTAGCACCAGTCTACAATCCACCTTCAAACAGAGACACGACCACTTTGACAGTAAGCAAACACTCTTACACACACACACACACCGCGTTTACACCAGCAGCTCGTCGGCCCACGGCGCGCCACCGTGCCTGTGTTGCGGTAGTTGTGCTAAGCGATTTTTGAAGGACGCCTCCACCTGCCAGCCCACTTCTCAAAGACAGTAGGGTCTGTGTCCGCCGGTCTGTCCACCTGTCTCCCAGCGTCTTACCTCCCAACCCCCTGACCCCAGAAGTCGTGCTGACTTCCCTTCTCTCCAGAGAGACTCCAGACAGACCACACACATCTTCAGATTTTGTCTTGCCTGTACTTCCTGTTCCTCCGCCTGTAAATATCGGGATCGGGTTTCGCCTGCCGAGGGCCGGAGCGCATGGGAACACGCCGCAGCGCTGACTCACAGAGGAAGCGGCTCGGCTCCGAAAGCCCCCCCGCCTCCCGGCCTTTACCCCCCGCTGCATCGGCGCGGAGTCGCTCTGCGACGACGATGATGCCGAGGGTCCCAGTGGGACTGACCGGAGAACAGGGGAACACATTTGATCTGAGGCGCTGGAATTTGGCTCATTAAGGGGAACGCAGTTTGGCAGAGTGTTGTGTGCGCATATGTTCCTGCGCGTTTGCAGGTCAGGGACCTCGGATCTTATGTGTCTGTGAAAGGCAGCGAGGGTTGGTCGGTAACAGGGAGCTTGTGTATTGCAGCCAGATGTTAGGAGGAATGTGACGTGTAGGAATGCGGCGGCTCAGCCTGTCCCAACCCTCCTCTCCTCCTCTCCTGCTGCCCTTTGGGCCCATCTCATGCCTCTCTCCTTAACACCCAGCCCCCTCTTCAATTTTTTATTTTGTTTTTTTTACTCTTTCCCTCCAACTTCTTTAAATTAAACTTTACACTTCATGCTCTCCTGTCTGCGTTCTCCACCCATCTCCCTTCTGGCAGTTTGAAGGAATATTTTAGGCCTGACTTCACTGACTGAGCCATCCATCATTTACTGTTTCAATAATTTGTCCAATGAGAAAATAACCTGATTTATTGGGAAAACCCCTACGATGGGATTCGAGAGCAGATGTCACCAGATTTCCTCTCGACTTCTCAGTGTTTCTGTTGCTGTCTGAAAGAAACAACCAATTACAGCCAGGAGGAGGGTGTCATCGCTGTCAATCAACCTTAGGTACGCGGTGATAAACGTGCTATTAGCAGATAAACTGTCTGCCGTTATCTGTGACCATGCTAAGTAGCGTTAGCATTCATAGCAAGCTTTGATGTGGTGTACTCGCCATAGGGTAGCAGAGAGAAAGCGCTGGTGTGTGAGCGGTGATTGGCAGCACTGAAATAAAAACATGATCACCATAGACCGTTTCCTTTAAAAAAAAAAACTTTAAATAGCTAAAGGAGCTTCTGCTTTTCTCTTTTCTCTCTTTTTTTGAACGTATGCGCCTTCAGCAGGAAACGTTGCCACACTTTTCTGAATGCCTTCACTCAGGCATTCAGAAAACTCGGCAAACTTAAGTAAATGATCACATCAGTTCTGTTGATTTGTGAGCTCTCTTCACATAAATCCTCCAGTGACTTGTATAAACTAAAACTGACACGTGATCCAGAATCAGAGGCAACTTTCGGCTCTAAAACTCAAATGGACATCCAGTCTTGACTTATTGTCCAACACCTGGGCTCGACTGCAAGGAAAGAGACAAAAGAATAAAACAATGTTCTCATGACATCGTTGTCTGTATTATTATTATTAGTAGTAGTAGTAAATTGTGTGTTCAAGTGTTTAGTTGACTTTGTCTAGATTTAATACATCGGTCACTTAAGCATCTGTGTTTCATTTACAGCTAAGTAGGCGTGGGACCATAGAGATTCTCATGGGTTGATAACCTCGTGAAAACATGGCCGAGTTTCAGAGTGGGGGTACTTACACAAATATTAACAAAAGTTTAAAAAAAAAAATACAGAAAAACAAAAGCTGTTCCCACTAAAATAACATTTTATTGCAGTAAATTGGACGCATCTGTAACCAGCTGATTTTTAAGACTCGGAAAATGGTTACTCATGCTTGTTGGGAAAACGACACCATTTTGGATCTTCTGCTCTTTATTGAGTTGATGTTTGCCAAAAGTTGATGTTGCCCAATTGACGGAGAAGCCTCTTGTAGTTCTCAACCAGTTTTAACGTGCAGAAAGTAACAGCCATGATCGACCAGAAGTGTTTCCAAACAGCTGAGTATATCTGTGACGAGTCAGGGGGGAATGTAGCAGTGGTCTGCAGCCAGACGTTGCTGCGCATGCAGGAATGGAGTGATAAAGCTGTTCAAACGTGGCACAGCTTGGAAAGCTTACCCGTCTTGGGATGGGCGATCTGGACTTAGAATTTCATCTGATTATTTTGTAATGCTGGTGTGATGAAGATTATGAGGGAAAAGAAGCTATTTGGTAGTTATTATATTATAGTTTTACTGCATGGCACTTCATTCATAATGCCACACATACAAATGATCTTAAGAGAAATTCTCATATGAACGCTTCTCCAGGACGCCACTTTCTGAAAAGAGTGTGATTTAGATCACTAAACTGCAACACAGCAACTCCTTTGGATCATATTTTCTAATTCACTGATATTTATAGACACTTTTTGTGGAAGCTACAACTTATCAAATTTAGTGACTTTACTGACAAAAAAAAACAGTTTTGGAGAAAATTGGAACTGGCCGGTCGGGCTTTTTAGAGATCTGTGATCGTACAGAAAATTACAATCGTCACCTCTTGCAGAGTCGATGATAAAATGCACCAATCCATAGGATAGACTGGAAATTTATCTATTTAATGGCTCAAAACCAAAAACTAACAAAATTATAGTGCCGTAAACACAGCATGTTTTTTTGAAGCACTTTTAAGTTTTAGAAAAATCAGAGAGAGATGTAATTTGAGTACCAGAGAACCTATAGCTTAGCCTGCCGCAATAAATCAATTAATCGCATAATAAAATAAAACAAGCTCAATAATTTGCCTGATTGTTTATTTTTCTTGTTTCTAGACTGGATGACTGAAGTCTTCACTCTGGTGCATCGGTCTGAATGTGCCCCTTTTTTGAGGGGCAATTTCATTTACAGAGACTTCAGTATCCATTTTATTTGTTGTTTCAAGCAAATAGTTTTTGTTTACATTTGACATATTCTAGTGTTAAGTTTGCTGGAAATGAAAATCTATTGATCTTTGAGAGAGTGTCCTTACATTATCGTTATACAACTCCAAAATAGTCTCAAAACAACAGTATCACAATTTATTGCAATAACTTTGGAAGAGTTTATCGTCTAGTAAAATGTATTGTGACAGACGAAACTACAGGACTTTTTGTTTTACTCTTTCAGTAAAGCATCTGACCTTGGATGAGCTGGAAAGCCTGATGAAAGTATGTTGTAGCCCAGGATCTACTTTTCTGAATGACAGTTGATAGCAAATACATGCGAGGCCTGATATTCCACAGGGGCCCTTCACTGATGGACAAGCATTACTAAATAAAGCCTCAGAGTTTGACAGTTCTGGATTCGGCGCTAAATAAGCCGGAGGGGACGCGCCTTCCAGACGTTTGAGCCAGACAAATGTCAGCTTTTGGTGTACAAAGGCCAAAACACTGAAGCTGAATAGTTTGGTCGAGACCCTGCGGATCGTTTCGCTCCTTCGGCTGCCGTCTCTCTTCTACCCGATCCGTCGGACTTCACTCCTAACGTCTCCAGTTGGGACGGTGAAAGTCTTCACCTGCAGAGTAATCCGGTGGCGACGAGTTTGTCCGCCTTCATACCGGACAGAGCAGGAAGGGGAAGCGTGTTCACATGAACATGGCTACGTGAAGGCGGACAAACTCAGGAAGCGGTGATTAGGTCGGTGCGCCCCGGAGCGAGGAGTCACAGCCAATTACGACCCGAGGCCAGAAGTAGTTCTGCTCCGCTCCACAGTGTTTGTCCTGGCCTTGGACCCTCTGTCCCTGCTGCACTGACCCCCGTCCGGCGGAGCGAGTCCATGTCTGGGAATTAAACACTTGGATTAAGAGACTCACATACACACACAGAGCAGGGCGATCCAACAGCAGGAGGGACAGAATCCCATCCCGTCCGAAAAAGAGGGGGGGAAGGAGCTCAATGACTAATTGGCACAAATAGGATGCAATTACTGCCTGGACTGGGACTGGGAGGAGCAGGGTTTATAAGGCCACCAGTGGGTGGTGTGCTGGTGGGGGCCAGGAGGACGGGGGGCAAGTGGGAATCTCCACGTCGGAGGAAGTGGGAGGAGATGGGTCAGCTTCTCTATTCCTGTGATGGATCGTTGCTAGTAGTCCGCTACATGCCGAAACGCTGACGGTCGAGGTTATATGAAAGAGAGGGGAAGTGGAGGGGATTGATACTCAGACGCCATCTCTCCCCCCACCATGTTCCCTCTCTCTCTGCTGTTTGACCCTTCACCCATATTCTCTCACACTGCTGGCTGAGCCACAAGCGCTGTTTTAATGGAAAAGCTCCTGAGCGCCTCGGCCTGTTGGCAGACGGCTCCGTGTCGTAAACTGAGTTTTAATGGCAGCGCAAGAAGCCTGGTTAGTGCTGCTCATAGCTCTGACCAGGCTGACACGCACACACACACACACACACACACACACACACACAGTTATGTGTCTTTGTCTTTGTAGGGATTTTCCATTGACTTCCATTCATTTCTACAGCCTGACACTAACCAAAACTAAATTCTCACCTTACTCCTAAACCTAACCCAAAAACAGCGTTGCTCCTCAAGGGGACCCAGATTGGTCCCCACAACCTTACAAGGTAAAAGAATATAGAGACTTGGTGCACCCTGTTGGAGTTCATTCATTTAGTCTCTGTGCTCCACCAGGTCCGTTAACCAGTTTCAGGACCCGACCAGAACCCCTGAGTGTAAATTACCTTGAGAAATAATGAGATTTGGTTGTTCATAAAAACAGGCTTCAATGTCGATAAATGATCAAATGTTACATGTCATACAAATGAAAGATGCTGTTTTTTCTTGTGTTTTTCAAGAAAAACCTGCTTTTCTTGTCGTTTGTTGCATTTCTCCTTGTCCATCTTTGTTTCCAACCTTCTGACGCTCTAGTTTTTCACCTCATTTCCAGTTTTTTTATTTTTGCTTTCTGTTTTTTTCAACCTTTCAATATCTTTCCTCTTTCACTTTACTACTATTATTTTCTTCCTTTTTGTTCTTCCTTCTTCTTCCTTCTAGTTAATTCTTTCATTCCTTCCTTCCTTGGTCTCTCTTCCTTCCTTCTTTTATTTCCTCCCTTCAGACCTCTCTGTGGGTTTCTTGCATTCTCAAACAAGTTCCTACTCGTGTACAGACGTCTACAGTAAACTTATTGTGGAGTTTTAGTGTTTTTGTATTTGAAAATACATAAACACTGGGACCCTGGACATGAACCGCCGCGCTGCATCATCATCTTCCAGCTCAGTGTTTTCCACTGACATTCAACTTGTGCAGACTGTGACATTCCAGTGATGAGGGTGGACCGCTTACTTTTAATCTTTGTCAGTGGAGCGTGGAACTTGGTGCCCTCTCCCCTGGCTCTCCGTGTGTGTGTGTGTGTGTGTGTGGTGTGTGTGTGTGTGTTGTGTGTGTGTGTGTGTGTGTGTGTGTGTGTGTGTGTGTGTGTGTGTGTGTGTGTGTGTGTGTGTGTGTGTTGAAGGAGGGGAGGGTCGGCAGTGGCGGCGGTAAATGGAGGGGCTGCAGTGTTTCCGGTAACCTTGGCGACACAGTGGGGATTTGGAGTTAAAAAAAGCCCTCAACTTAACCCGCCCCACGATGCCCTCACCCCCTCGTCTATCTCATTTTTTTCTTCTTAATGTGTCAGTCTGAAGTGGAAGTGACAGCACTACTTGGTGTTTGTGTGTGTGTGTGTGTGTGTGTGTGTGTGTGTGTGTGTGTGTGTGTGTGTGTGTGTGTGTGTGTGTGTGTGTGTGTGTGTGTGTGTGTGTGGAGATGCAGGACTGGATGGAGGTGGACGGGGTGGGGTGAGGGGGCCGTGTTTGCTTGCATGCGTGTGAAACATAAGGTGAAACATTTTCAGGGACTCTGAGGAATTCTCATTTTGTTCAGATTAAGAAAGTTAAAGGGGGGTAGAGGAGGGGTGACCATGGGAGAAGAGGCTTGGATTATGGGTGGCGGTGGTGTGAGGTGTGATGGACATTCCTCAGGATGAAGTAGGTCATTGTTCGCTGTCTCTAGTGAAGAGAGCTCTCTGAAGGAACTGATGAAGTGAAAGCAGCAAAGGGAGGGAGGGAGATGCAGGACTGGATGGAGGTGGACGGGGTGGGGCGGGGGGGCGGGTGGAGGCTACAGGTCCATCTATGCAAAGGAGAACCGGGAGGAGGGGGTCGCACTATTCAGTAATCCTATTGAAAAGGCTTCTGAGGGACAGTCCAAGAGAGGTTGGCAGAAAGGGAAAGCGAATGGAATGTGACAACAGAGAAATGCCATTGATGGTGGTCAGTTTAACGCACGTTGATGTGCAGAGACAACTCTGCTGAATGGAGAGCGGCGTGGCGGCCAACATGACGCAGTTCCACCGCTTGCCGTCCCGCCCCCCTCCTTCGGCCCAGATGCCTTTTAACTATCAGGTTTTGTTGGTGGAGGGACCGTTTCGCCGTTGGGCACAGTCAGCAGTGGTGAAGTGAATAAAACGTCAGTCAGGCTTCAAACAACATGAACTCCGGCCAGATTGTAAGGAGTAGCAGATTCGGTGATGGAGTTCTGTTTACTTTACCATTCTGCTGTGCTTTGTGTTGATCTGTCACATAAAACCTTTATAAGATTCTTTGAAGTTTGTGGTGAGAGACATTTGAAAGGTATGAGTATCTTTTTCATCATCTTTGAAGAGTGTTGTAAAGAATGCTTTCTGTAGACAATGTTCAAGAAGGAATCTGTAATTTTAAACCATCGATAACCTCTTTGGGACCAAAAGAGAGCATTCACACCCGCTCTTTCAAGTACGCTTTAATCTAAGCCTAATCTCATTTCCCTAGTTGGTTGGTTGGTTTGGAGAACTCTGATGCACACCAAAAACGTGAACTCTGGTCCACCTACAATCCTTGGTCTCAGTTTGGTTGAAGTGAACGCCGAGCAGTCCGAAGATCGCTCCACAAGCAGGAAACAAACTAAAGTGCAGGGCATTATGGGTAAATGCAATCAAAACAAATCTGAGAGTCCAGCTTGAGTGGGAGAAATATCTCATGGTCTTTTGCCAAAGACAAAACAGCCGCTAAAAATCCAGCACTACTCCATTTTTGTTTACAGTGCTGTGTGAGAGTGAATCCCAGCAGCTGAAAATGTAACAGATGTTGCAGTTTTGCTCCCCAATCGAACTGAGTCTACCAGAGCGATGGGTTGCTGGTTTGATGCAACCTTGGGCAAAAACACTAAACCTGACTCTGGACTTAAAAAAGCACTGTACAAGTACCGGCCATTTACCATTTTTCTGTACCGTCTGGTGTAAAAACAAGTTGCCTCAGATTGCTTCCGTCATGTCCTCTAAGGCACCTTCTTCTTCTCTCCACAGAGTTCTTCAAGGAGCTCCTGAAAAACTCCCAGGCGTCGCTGCACAGCATGTTCATGCGGACCTACGGCGTAATGTACATGGAGAACTCCCAGCTGTTCACGGACTTCTTTGCCTCGCTGACCCGCTACTACGTCTCGGGCAGCTCCGCCGTCAACCTGGAATCCATGCTGTCGGACTTCTGGGCCGACCTCCTGGAGAGGATGTTCCGGCTGGTCAACGTCCAGTACGAGTTCAGCGACGCCTACATGGAGTGCGTGAGCCAGTACACGGAGCAGCTGCAGCCCTTCGGCGACGTTCCGCGCAAGATGCGGATCCAGATGACGCGAGCCTTCGTGGCCGCTCGCACCTTCGTGAGAGGCCTCGCCCTCATGCCAGACGTGGTGAATAAGGTGTCCACGGTAAGCGAACGCAGCTTTTTTTTTTGTCTTCACTAAAAAAGGCAGCTAGAATTCGGCCGACCACTCCCTTCAGAGCCTCTGACTTCATATCTTTTGTGTTTGCGCCAGCTGCGGTTGCATAGACAGCCAGTCTCAACACAAACCTCTTTGACTCTACTGGTTTGACATGTTTTTCCATGTGATTCATTGATGATTAGATTATTCTGCTTGGTGGACCTAGCCCTATAAAATGAAATGTTTAAGCCGTTTCCCAGTCCAAGTATGCATCTTGGATGAGTTTGTCTCGCTGCGGTTCGGTGAAAAACCGCCTTCCTAACAGCCTCCCACCTCCTCCAGGTCAGCGCATCTCCCAGCTGTGTTCGAGCCGCCACGAAGATGTTGTACTGTCCCTACTGCTCCGGCCAAGTGGCCCTGAAGCCCTGCCAGAATTACTGTCTGAATGTGATGAGGGGGTGTTTGGCTAACCAGGCTGACCTGGACACGGAGTGGAACAACTTCCTCGGTAAGAAGACTTCCAACATGACCATGATTCCAGTCTTGTAATCGTAATGGTTTCTGTTTTTATTCCCATTTTCCACCAAAGATTGATAGAAATTGAATTTTCAGTCACAATCCAGTTCAGTCTTTAACCTAAATAGGAATGTTTTGTTTGAAGGTCCTCTTTGTTACACATCTTGTACAAACATGTGGCTTATTTACTGTAATGTAAAGGGAGAGGGAGGGGTGTACATGTGACTGGCTGCAGGATGAAAGCTGTTATTGTTTAGTGTAAACACACTCAGATCTGGTCCATTACATTCAGGGTGGTGCACATCTCCTCCATTCTCCACTCTGTTTATTGTGCTCCGCTTTCTGTTTGCTCCTCTTCTGCTGCAGCTTCTGTGGCCTAATTTTACTTATGAGCTGCTGCCACCTCGTGGTAGATATCAGTAACGGCATGCGTAGGGTTGCTTTGCAAAATTATGTTCACACATTTTCCACATTTTTGGCCTAATACGACTGAAAAAATTTATTTCATTTTATGTTGTAGACCAAAACAAATTAGGGCATGACTAAATGTGCTAGGAAATTATTTAAAAAAATAAATCTGGAGTGTGGTGTATATTTAATATGCAACTAAATGGAACAAACAGCATCATGTAGACCAAAGAAATGGCAAAAAGATCAGGAAGAAAGATGAGTAGAAGTTTAATTTGAAGTGTTGCATAACAAACATGTGAAACTAAAGGCTGTGGCATAGTTTTTACCGGCCAACAAGACTGTGTAAAAGAAGACTAGCTGTAACCGTTTTAAATAGACAACTATTTTGATAAATGTCTATCCTCAGAAGTTTGTCATGTTAAGAACCACCATTTCATTTTGATTTGAGATTTTTAAATAAAGTGAAACAGTAATTCGTACACGAAGAGGTTAAATGCATTTTCTTTTTCAGGATTTTGATATTTGTATGATGTAAAAGTAAAAAGCGCGTCATTTACAACTTAGAAACTCTTTCAGCCATTTTCCTTTCACATTAATGTATTTTTTATGAAAGAGCATGTTGTTTAATTTGTGGATTGAGAGTCCTTGCGTTGTGGTTTTCAGATGCCATGCTGGGCCTGGCCGACAGGCTCGAAGGGCCCTTCAACTTCGAGTCCGTCATGGACCCCCTCGACGTCAAGATCTCCGAGGCCATCATGAACATGCAGGAGAACAGCTTGCAAGTCTCGCAGATGGTCCGCCTCAGCGCCGCCGTTTTGTCCAGAACCTCCCAACTCGGCAGGTTCCATTTTACCGAGCTTCTCTCCTCCCTCAACAGGTCTTCCAGGGATGCGGGACACCCAAACCCAACAAGGCCTTCCGCTCCAAACGGTCAGGGAAGGAAACGGGCTTCACCGGCCGCTTCCGGCCCTACAGTCCAGAAGCGAGACCGACGACCGCCGCTGGGACCAGTTTAGATCGGCTGGTGAGGAACTGGACGGTGAGCCTCAGCTCTGTGTTTGTCCCGTTGCCTAAAATGTGCTTCGTTTGCGCCGCATAGACGGGGGAAGTGAAGAGGAAGCTGAAACACGCGAAGAAGTTCTGGTCCACGTTGCCAGAGACGGTGTGCGCAGCAGAAAGGACCGCACCTGGCGATGAGTGCTGGAATGGAACAGCCAAAAGCAGGTAAGGGGAGAAAAAAATACTTTTACTGGGTTTGTACGGAGCTGGAAATCCTTAAATTTCACTGAGGGAGTTTTCCAGGTTTGGGAAGTGTTTCATTTCTGAATAAATTCATTAAAAGTGCTTCATATTCAAACTGTGCAGTTTGGGAATGAAGTGAATTTTGACTAACAGCCTAAATTTGGAAAACGGTTTTCATTGTTGAAGTCAGATATTTAAAGATGTTTTTTCCCCTCACCTTCTGAAGTTAAATCAGACAAAACTTTTCTTGTTTTAGGTTTGTTAGAATTTACTAGAATTATTTTTATTTGCTAACATAAAACATTTTTTCGATTTTATTATTTATTTATTTTTTACTTTTTCAAACCAATCAGGGTATCTGTGTAAGAGAAACATTTTAAGACATAAAATGTTGTTATATTTTGGTTTACATTGTTCCTGCTGGAGAATGTATACAATTATCTCAAGACATTATTAATACAGTAATAAATGATATATCTTCGTTTCTATTGTTTTTATCTCCAAAGTGTGGTGCAAGAAAAGGTTGAAAACACTGGGGAAAGTGTACAAGCCCAGTTCTTATTTATGTTGAATAGAAAACTGCTGTGTGTGTCTCACAATCACACCTCTATCCTCCTTAGATACCAATCGGATGTGATTGGCAACGGGCTGGCCAATCAGGTTTCAAACCCTGACGTCGAGGTGGACATTACCAAACCAGATGTCGTGATTCGCACCCAGATTGCGGTTTTGAAGGACATGACGAACCGGCTGAAAGCGGCGCACAGTGGAAACGACCCGACTTTTGAAACAGGTGAGGGCGCCAAGCCTCCTTCTGGAGCTTTATCTATTCTTCCTGCACAGTCTGGGAGGATGTGGAGCGTTATTATTTTCGAAGGAGGAAAAAACATGTGAATGAGAAACTTTTCTTATTTTCAGATGTTCTTTTCCATCCCAATTTGTTCACCAGCTATATAGTCAGATTGAGATATTAGTCCTTTAATCCAGAAAATGTTCTTCAGGCGATAAAAGGCTGATTTTGTAATCGCCTTTATGTGGCTCTGAAAGCTCAGATTTATCCATCTGCCCTCTTCTTGTCAGTCTGCATGCTGTTTTTTTTTTTTTCTTCCATATTTAAACTCCAAGCCACCTTAAACTCACATGTTCACTTTAAAACTGAGCTGAAAACTCCAGAACATTTCGACCAATGGGAAACCTCTTGACCCGACCTTTTTGTTTTTGTTTTCTCTGTAACAGAGGCTGAAGCTAGCGGAGACGGCGAGAGCGGCAGCGGCTGCGACTCCCCGTCGTGCGGCGAGGACGACATCTACATCTTCACCTCGCAGAACCCGGAGAAGCCCAAGGTCAATTTGGTGCAAACAGACTCGTCATCGGCGTCCTTACGGGGAAGCCTGGCGCTGGCGCTCTGTGGGCCGGCCCTGGCCCTGCTCGCCCCCCACTGGAGATAAAGACCATCAGGACAGGAGAGGAAGAGAAGATCGACCAGGAATACAAGAGTGAAGGGGAGCCCTGTCAGAGAGACTTTACAAAGACTTGCCTTCAGGACCTCAGCCTGGGGTGGATGAGGGAGGGGGAGAGACTCTTCTTGATATTACAATAACTTCAATATTAACTATTTGTATGTTTGTAAGGACATCAGTGTACGGCAGGGGGATTTTTCGTCTGAAAATCCACCTGTTTTACCCCCCCCACCTCCCAGTTTCATAAACTTCCTTAGGTTCTGCTTGCAGCAATACAAACATATAGCAAATTGTGCCTTTTTAAAAACATTTTTTCTCCCCAGCGATATCAATAACAGTTGATGATTGGTTGAACAGGAAGCGCCTGTATTGAGGCATCTTCATATTTCTGATGATCTTGCTGCCCATCACACATGGATCATTCATACAACACGCAAACTGTGAATTCCTCTGGATAATCAGCCTATCAAATCATGATTTGATAGGCTCAAGCACTCATCACTCAGAATTACAGGAAGATGTTGCAAAATAGGTGTTCAGCTTCCTCCCGGCACTCGGCTTATCAGCTTCGTAACACCCTAAACCTTCCCTCTTTTTTTGTTTTGTTTGTTTGTTTACTTGTTGTTTTTTTTAGTTCCATACCTTGCACAGCTCGTCTCATACCTCATGAATACTCTCAATGCAAGCCGGCGATTCGGAGTCAGTCCGGAAACGGTCCCCGTTTCCCCTGGCAACAGCCCTGAAGAAGGTGGCGGGTCACGCCACCCCCCCACCCGGCGCTGGTCGAGTTAGCTCAGTTCATCACAAGGCGTCTCGGCTCTGCAACGGTCCGAGTCGGGAGAAGTCGAAGCATTTTGGGGGATCAACCGGAGAGCGTTTTTTGATCAACAACAACAACAACAAAAAATCAGCAAAGTTTATTACAGGGTTTGTTTTTGTTTTTTGGGGGGTTTTTTGGTATGAAAGAATATATTTGGTACTACGATAGATTTTACGAAATTCGTCCCGCGTCATTCACTCACCCGTTTATTCTAGCTACTTTAAAAAAATCATTAGCGCGTACAAAATGTTGATGTCTTTGTACTTTTTTTTGGTACTTTTTTGTCATTTCTTGTTTTGGTTTTTTGTTAAAGCAAAGAATGTAGGTGTTTTGTAATTTGCGGCCTATCCTCGACATTTCAACCGTAAAATTCCAGCGTTTTGTACAGTAACTTATGTCTGTATTTTAACGGGATTGGAGAAAGAATGATGTAGTATTGAATTAATCAAAACCAGGTGAGCAAAAACAGGTTGAAAAATTATTTTTAAATTAAGTTACCACACAGATTAAATTGGTTTGAATAACAATTTAGCATAAATTGTTTTGTTTTCTTTTTTTCTGGTCTGAAAAAGCTACGTGGGGACAAACGTAAACAATAGACCATTTCCCAACTTAACAATCTTGCTTTTGAAGGATTTGATGAAATCTCTATGCAACGTATTGTAAAGTACCGGAGCCTTTATACGGACGCTTCAGCTTCATTTGCCATTACGTTCCTCACATTTTCATGTTCCGCAAACATTTCAGCGAGGGTTTTGTGCGTCGGAAGAGCAAAGTTGTCAAAGAAACATTCGGAGGAAATGTTTCAGGTGACGATGGTGAATGTCTTTTGTTGGCAGGCCAGGGCAGCAGTGGCGTTTTTTGTTTTGTTTTTTTGTTTGTTTTTCAGCTGGCAGGAAACGGTCCGGCTGCTGGACGCTCATTCGATCCACAGAGAAATGTCAGTCCCATGACTGAAATAATGATCAAAGAAAAAGAAAAGTCGAACTTGGGACAGGTGTTAGAAATCCTTCCGCCTGCCTCGCTGGCCCACGAGAAGAGAAAGGACTCGCTCTCTGAGGAGAGGGCGACTGACTGACTGACTGAAAAGTATGAATGATGTGTAAATAGAGAGCAGCCGTTTCTAGATGTCTCTAAAAGAGGCCTTAACAGTACACCAGGGTTTTACTTGTCAGAGTAAAAATAAATGTTCTGGAAGAAAATGAGATGAGATAGATGTTAAATTGTAAGAGAAAATGTATATTAAACATTTCTTAGTCTTGTGGAAATAAAGACTGCCAATATTTAAATGAGTGTGAATTGCCTGTTTTTTCTTTTTTGAGTTTTCTCTGTTGCTCTGAATCATGTCACGTTGCACACTGGACTGGTGGCCATGATTATTTATACAATATGCAAAGGTACATAATACACTGGGACATACAGAGTACATATTTGTTAAAAATTAAGAAATAAAACGCAATGTTTTCCAACAAATACAACACGACGAGATCACTTGGTATGTCTGGTGCCTTCGCATATCGTATAAATCATTTTGCTGGGTCACCCTGGGCTAAAAACACCAGAATCAAAAGTTTATATATATAAAGAGAGAGAGAGTATAAGTAATGCATTTCACTACGACAGCAATGATCAGCATATGACTAAATAACTGCAGGGATCATCTGCAGACATTTCAACATTCATTAAACTTCAGTGGTTGAAAGAGAAATTAACTTTGAGACGGAATGCTATGAATTTACATAAAACAGACAGAAATTTACTTTTATAAAATTGGAGGTGAAGTTGCCAAAAATCTTAATCAGATCTTTGATAGCCTAGCTAGCTGGATGTCTCACAGATTTGCATAGAAAAGGAAGAAATATATCACTTATGTACACATCTCCAGGTTCAATGTATTGAAATATTCAGGCGGTGGATAGAAAGCTTAGTGATAAAGTGGATAATAAAAGCATTTTCATTTGTGTGGCTATTAATAGTGTTGATACGTTAAACCAAAACACAGAAATAATATAGAAGCTTTCTTAAATTGTATGTGCAGTCTGCAGGTCCAGTAAAATGGCATCTCATAGTACTGCTGCAATAGATATTAGCTGATGTAATAGAAATGAAAAACTACTTGCACTTATCTGGATGACTTGTGGATTATTAGTTAACAATGTCACTGACCACTTTCCGGTATTTGTTGTTCAAACGCATTCAATAAATCAGAATATTACTGAAAAGCCCATTTATTTCAGGAACTTTACCACAAAACAGAAACTAATTATATAGATTACACGCAGGTGGATGTTTGAAAGCCCCTTTTTTTTGTCAATTATGATTGGAAACAGCATGAACAGCTTTTTGACACTCCCCAGGCTAATTCTCGCTGAGGGGCTTTTTTTTTTTTTTTTTTTTTTTTTTTTTTGTGCATTGTCTTTGACTGACTCGGGAGGACGGCGGCGTGTTGTGTGCATCACCCAAATCTGTCCGGCGGATGTTGCGCCAGGAGTCTCGTCGCAAAAACAATGGCGAGCGGCATCGGCAGTAAGTAATATTATAATATAGTTTTTAATGTCATATGAGACTTTTAGGGATCTGTGAAGGCAAAATGACTCGGGGGACTTATTTCACCCAGCTCGTAAAGACACTGCGGCCTCGCCGCTCCAAATATCGCCGGTGTGTGGGAAGATGTGTGTGCCCCATGAATGTGTCCCCCCAAACATTGCTAAGCTAACGCTAGAATTTAGACGTTATTGTGCCGTTTTATCTTGGTTGTAAAATAATACGAGCCATTGCCAGCTTTGTGTTGATGAGCCTTATTTATGTTTTAGTTAAATTAGGAGTTTTAGTCGTCCTGCAGACAATATCAGGCGAATGAGAGTATTGTGGCTAGCGGTAGCAAGCTAGTGCTGCTTGTTTACGTCAAACATGCTGCGGTTACCCTCGCGTTTCTGATTAAATTGGCAGCTTCCGTTGCTATTGGTAGCCGTTTTGAACCCTTTAGTAAGTTTAATTTTTATTAGGATGAAGCTAAACTCAAGTTTTACGACTGGTTTAGTTCGTTCTGCGTTTACAAATAGAGCATGATGGATATGCAAACTGGTAGGAACCAATTCCTGTCAGAAATGAACAAACATGTTTGTATTTTTTTAATTCCTTTTCTTTTTCTTTCTTTCTTTTTCTTTTTTTTTTTTTTTTTTTTTTTTGCTACAGAACACAAGATTATGAATGTGGGACCTACGGAGCCCTGGTCGATCAGGGAGAAACTGTGCCTGGCGTCATCTGTGATGAGGAGCGGAGACCAAAACTGGTAAATCCATGAAAGTATTTGTCATTTGTAGCAAAAAAATGTTCCCCACCAACCATATACGATCAGAGATGTAGGAGAGAAACAAGGTCCATCAAGACGGTGCTCAGTTAAATTGTCTGGCTATTAAAACGGGTGATATAGTGAGAAAGTGAGGCGTCATAGATATTATCTCTAACCAAGGTTTCCCTACTTACATTAATCAGAAAATAAACTTTCCTAAATATCAGCATAGAGAAGAATAGCATGTAGGACAACTGTTATTATTTTTTTCACACCCCATATATTGGGGTATGAAATATATACAGTGTATAGGCCACAATACAGTCATTATTTTTTTCTTTTTTATTTCTAAGATGTTATTTATTTACTTATTTTTTTTTTTGTTTCTATAGTGTGATGTGGTGGGACAAACTAAATCCACCCCTCCTATTCCCTCTTAAAGTGTCTTTATCTTATATTTTTGTCTTATTTGTCTTCCAGGGTGTCTGTGAGCCGAGCCATCAAGCCTTTCTCTGAGCCTGGTCGTCCTCCTGACTGGTTCTCTCAGAAGGTGTGTGAGAGAAAGAGAGACAATAACCCACTACTTTCTCCCTCTCTCCTCATCTCCCAGCCACAGATGTCACTCGTGTTGAATTTTATTCTTTTTAGCTGACTTGGCTAATTTCCTGTTTTGCTTCTCAGCACTGTGCCTCGCAATATTCCGAGCTGCTGGAAGCCACGGAAGCTCCAAAGTGAGTGCTCCGGTGCTGCGGCGTCACCGTCGCAGAATTTGATCCCGGACTTTTCTGACTTAAAGCGAAGGGCGCTCCGAACTTTCTTGTCTTGTTCTAGGCGCAAGCGTGGGGAGAAGGGCGAGGTGGTGGAAACCATCGAAGATGTCATCGTCCGCAGGCTGACCACTGAAAGGATCGAGGAACTTAAAAGACTACAGAGAGAGACGCAGGAGCAGTACAGGTAGGTGTACGTGCTGATACACAGTGTACTGATTGGTGCATTAATTCAAAGTCACTGCTTTTACTACAATGAATGAAACTAAGTGTAATAGGAACTCACGATGGCACATTAAAAATGATTTCCTTTGTATTTGTTGTCCTTGTCCTGACAGGAAGCTGAAGAAGGAGGTGGAACTGATCCAGTCGGGTCACATGGACTCCCAGCTCAAGGATCTGTGGGCAGAAATCACACAGTGAGGCTCTTCCCTTTTTGGCCCCTCCATGTTGCCATATTTCCTTGTGATTGTTGTGGCCTAAAATTCCTGATTTCATGGCGCCTTTTGCAAAGAGTTGTAGTCAAATTTTTTATTTTTTTTTCCGTTGCGACGATAAAAATTTCTTTAAATATCTGAAAAGCAACAGTGAGCACAACCTCTGTATGGTAATTAAAGGGGGTCAATTTTTACTGCAAGAACACAAACTCTTACCAAGTATCTTTGGTCTGGTTTCTAGTGCAAATATCTTAAATAAAAATAAGACTAAACTAACTTGCAAGTAACTTTTCAGCAATATACAGGAGTTTGTTTTAAGTTAATAATTCCTTAATATTGATGAAAAAGTACTGGTTCCAGGAGCAAATTATGTCACTTAAAACGTGGGAAAAATATCTTGTCGCAAGCTTCGTGGGGTTAGCTCTTATTTATTGACCTTTACAGCTTCTCGCCTTAAAATCAACTTTTCCGGAATTTTTTGTTCGTTCTCCAGCAGAAGTCCTCACCCTCAGCTCCAAAGCAAGGCTGATGTTCTCACCATCTGTACAACAAGCTTGCCGTCCTCATTTCCCTTGCCACGCCTCACATTTTAAACTCTGCGTTTGTTTTTCAACTGCAGAAAGAAGAAGCAGGAGGAGGAGGAGGCAGAGCAGAAGAGGAAAGCCACAGAGGTGGCGTACCAAGGTAGGTCCAGAGCGTTCACCGTGAAAACCGAACGCTCAGCCGTCCTGCTGCTTCCACTGGATGGAAGACGAGAAGCTGCAAGAGGCGGCTGCAGTTTGCTTTATGTCGCAGCAAATTCAGCCTAAAGTCACATAATGGATTCTCTTAATGCAAATTGTTTCCATTTTTTGTGGAGCTTTGGATTAATTATTGCTCTGAGTGTGTTTTTCTGTCAACAAAATGATCTTTTTTGAATTTGTAAACTCCTGTTAACAATTAATCGATTACTAATTCAATTGAAGATCATTTCAATAATCAATTCATCACGATTAATCCGACTGATCGTGTCCAAAATTTGCCACTAGCAAATTTTAGGTTCTGTCTGTCCAGCTGAATCATTGACTGGGAAATGTACCAGGATGTCTCCTTTGGCCTGTGTGAAAAATATTTATTAATGATCCATGACTGATTATTAATGTAGCAGCTTTTTGAATTCCTCATTGAGAAATCTAAAGTCGCTCCTTTCTGCTTTTTTTTTTTCCCCCGTGTGTGTTACACAGCGCGTCAGGCGATGAAGAACACGCCGAAGCGCCTCCCCAGTGTGACGGTCCGGTCGCCCCTCGGGGCCAGCCCCTCGACTCACGACGCTCAGGCAGACTCTGCTGTCCCCACGCCACCCATGGACACCGAAGGCGTCCCCTCGGAGGACACCGTCGTCCACTCAACGGTAGGAAACCGTTTAGCCGGACGTCAGGTGTAAATTTGCGGCAGACTCAACAAGACGAGTGACTCCCTCAACCCGACTCCGTCAGGCTCAGGGGGTGGGCGTGTTCCTGCCGGGAGCGGAGCCTCCGGTGTCGGGGCCAAAAGACGGAGGTCTGGCTTCCCTGGCGGAGGACTCGCCTCAGAAGAGACTCCTGGCGCAGAAAGCCACGCCGCCACCGTCGCCTCTGTTATCGGAGCTGCTAAAGAAAGGAAACATCATCTCAGCCAGCCCACGCCTTGTGAGTGCTAACTAAATAACAAAACAGCAATCATCAAGAAACATACTAGCGATTAATCTGAAGTGAATTATTAAATTTTGGATTTTAAATATAGCTGTTTGATAGGTTTGACAAATTATTCTGAGTTAAA